AGTCTATTTCTTCTCTACCATGAGAGCCCCTAAAAATGTAATTAAACTTCTATCCTCAATTCAAAGAACATTTTTATGGGGAGGTAAAGGGGGGGCATAGGAAGATTGCATGGGTTATGTAATACCCCAAAAAATTGGTGATATTTTAGCATTTAATAAGGGACTTATTTGAGGGAAAGTATTGTTTTGGGGGTTAATCGTAAAATTTTAAAAAGTTGAGGGGCTAAAAAAAAAGGAAATTTGGATAAGGATCAAGGTTGATATTTTTGTCCTCAGCCACGTGTTTTGCTTTTCTTCATCTTCATTTTTCTTCTCCCCGATGCTCTGCCTCCCAGACCAGCCCCCCCCAAGCCACCGACTCTCTCCCCCTTGAAAAACCTGGTGAGATCTTGATGAAATTTCTCTTCTTTTCTTGTTAAATCACAAGATTTGGGGCTTAGAATCTTCCCTCTCAACCCAGAAATCCCGGATCTGCTCTGCTTCTTCCTCCCTTGTCCGTCCATCGGGTTCTGCTGGGTTTGAATCCTTCGGCTTTTTCTGGTAAGAAGCAGCCTTGAATTCATCCTTTCTCTCTTCATTTGGCTTGGGTTACTCTAATTTTGTTATTGGTTCTTGAATTTCTGGAGTTTGCCGTGAGTTTTCCCCCATGGATCCCGTTGGCTTCCTCACCAGCCAAGCTCGGGTTCTGCTGGCTGGAATTCTGGTAAGTTGCCGGCTTTTCCAAGCTTAAAATTACCCATTTAATTGCTGGGTTTTGTCCATTAGTTGATGCTCTGTGTTGTCCGAATCTACTGGGATAGGGGATGAATTTGGCAGCCCTTTTAAATGTGTTTTAAGCTTGATTATGTAGAATTTAGCTTGAATTAGCCACTGTGATGTTTTGTGTGAGAAATCCCGTGTGTGTGAGTTGTGATTTGCCAAGTCATGCCCTCCATGTGCTACCCGTGAGATTGGGGAAATTTTGGTAGCTTTAAGCTATGTTTTAAGTATGGTTTAAGGAGAAAATTAGCTTATTTGAGAAACCCCGTGAATTAGCTATGTTTTGCAAATTTTGGGAGTTGAAGTTACTGTTCATGAGGTACTGTTCACGGGCACTGTTCACACACCGAGGGTCAACGATTAACGGGGATTTAAATGATTAGTTTGTGATATAAGGATAAGTTTGGAGATGTCCGGTTATGTGGAGATTGATAGAAATAGCACTGTGATTAGGGGTAGTGCTAAAGATGATTTCACTGTGAAATTGTGGTAATACGATATTAATTCTTGGATATTGTGATTAGGTTTTGATCGTTCTGTCACCGTAGCACTTGGGTTAGCCTTCTGTTCTGTGCGAGGTAAGTAAATCATGGTAAAGCCCTTCGATTTTAAAGTATGTTTTAAACTGTTTTTGAGATGGTGGCAAGGTTTAAATTGATTTTATCAGCATCTGAATGTGATTAAACTGAAATGGAAATTGTGATGGTTTTTATGAGAATTTCACTGTTTTTTGGAATTGAGCATGATTGAAATGAAAAGTGAGAATTTCATTGTTTTTCTGGAGTTATTGCACCAAGCATGATTGGTTTGAAATGAAACTGTTTTCATTGGTATTGAGTAGAGCATGCCTATTTGGAATTGACTGAACTGTTTTGATGAACTGAGAGTTTACAAATTCTGAGTTTTCTGATAAATCCATGCCCACATGGATTTTTCTGGTTATTTCTGAAATTGGGATTGATTGTGAAATTCGGGTTCTCTGTAAACTCTGCATGGTTTTGTCTCAGATATAGTCATGATTACTAATTACTGTGCCCGCTAGTGGGAGGTTTATAAATGCTAGCACATGTCGACATGTTTACTGATATGACCAGTCCATTCTGTAACCCTACCAATGGGGTTAAACATTGGTACTATTACTGTGCCCGCCAGTGGGAGGTTTATAAACGCTGGCCATGACTTATAGATGAGACTACT